CGAATACGAGCTACTCCAGCCTGAACCTGACACGTTGAGGCAACCATTCCCCGCTGGGACGCGATAAAATTCATCAAAGTGACCGAACCCGTTCTCTAACGAACGGATGCACGGACGTCCGATATTTCCCTCGACATTGTTTCACGCTTCACGCTCGCGGCCGCTTTGAAAAGAAAGCAGACGTTTCTATCATCGGCGTCCGCCACGTCGAGGAATTTTATAACGAAACGGAACCGGAGGAAAGAAATACCGCCCGAAGCATATCTTTCATCAACACCGTATAAAATATAACTTGGCAACTTGTATGTAACTATCCTCGTAAACTTACCGTACAAATATCGTTGAAACAACTCGATCAAATACCAACGAATTTTAATCTTTTACGTAGCGAGTTTTTCCTGCCATAACCTTCCCCTCCCCCCCACCGCGTTACCTCCGCGAGTAATGAGTATTTTGCGGCAATCGACGAATTACACGATTCTATCAAAGATAGGTAGCAGTCACGGATACGACTCGCTTCGTTTTGCACGCCTCTTTCCACCTTGCGGTTCGATACGCTTCCCTCCTCGCGACGTCGCGCCCGCTCGTGACCGTTCGCCAGCAACGGAGGAGGTTTCACGGTCACGAGGTCTTATCTTTCTTAAACGCTCCCGCCGCTCCTTTCTCCACGGAGGAGCTGTGCACGTCGATACGGGGTCCCCGTAACGCTGGCGGGTATCTAGTTTCGTACTACTTCGAGACGTTCAGCCTTGATGGAACAGGGGGACCGCGAGCGAAGCCGCGATCACACGCGAAGATAGAGATAAATTGCGGACGCGTCCAGGTGACTCCGCGGATGAATCGTCCCTTCATTGATCCACGCGGCTCGTTAATCAATAACGCGCCGTACGGAACACGTGAACGAGCAGAAAATTCTAGCAGGAGGCACGCCTTCGTGCACGCTACGTTCTCAGATCGTAATCGTCGATACCGATTCGCCACGCGGTTTCTCACCCAGGAGACTTGTTCTCGGAACTATCCAACGTGATACGTATAATGATTTATCTCTCGAAGCGCTGAAGCATTGTAATCATATAATTAATAACAAAATAATTGGTTTGCTCGCTACGGATTCAAAGAAGACGACGTGTTGTCGTACTATCGAAAAGATACACGTGATGATAAATTCTCAATTTTGTTATATAAACAAGTGTAATAAATTCTCAGTTTGCTTCGAAACTATTGGCAATTTTAAGCAAAGGTGTAACTGAAAGGGTCAGCAAAGGCGCAAAGCAGAGAATCCTAGGAGGTGTTCGATCGTGCTAACGAGGATCGATTCGCTTCGCCGTGACTTCGCTGACTCGTTCTTGGAAATCTTGAAAGCAAATTCATTCTGCAGAAAATTCTCCTTCTCCCTTTCTTTCTTACCGAGCAGTCGATAACGAGAGAAGGAGTTAGTTACTGAATGCTGCGCGGTTTTTACCGAATGTTATCCCTGTTCATTCTCGAATTAATCACAGACAAAGACGGAGGAGGAAGATCTCTGATTAAACTTACACAACCGGAGCCACTTAAGGAATCCCACGTTACCGAAACGTTCTCCGAACTTGAAATGCCGTTGAATTACCCGGCCGGGGATCGGATTGTTGCCACTACTTACTCGGCCAGCCGAGCATCCTGCAAGTCACGTTGCTCTTTCATCAACAGAACGGGGAAATATGTAGAGAAACTCTTGAAACGGTATAGTGAAACGACAAGGCCGCGTCTCAATCGGGAGAACGTACTCGAAGCACGACGGCTTTTAACGAACCCTCATCCAATTAAAAACTGTGATTATAACTGTGATCGCCACGAGAGCGGATTTCAACGACTGCGTATTCGTGTATAGAAATTTCGGAGATTGGAAGAATTATGTGTGACAAAGTCTCTGACATTCTACTGGTCAGATCGTTTCTTAACCAGACACTTGCGTAAATATCGAGTTACAAGATAGAGGATGTATGAACGAAGTGAAAATGGTAGATAGATTAATACAGGGTGGGCCAAAAATTTTTTCCTCTATTTTTTTTTTAATAAAATATAAGAAAAAACTAATTTTGTTAATTTTAAATTACATTTAAATTCATGATTTTAATAGGCCCACCCTATATAATAATTTTTCACCGAAACTTTTCAGACTTACAGCTGCGTATTTTTAAGAATTTTGATTCTTGGTAAAATATTCTTCCCTGTAAATGTATTCTATCTACAAATGTGTTCTTCGTTGTATCATAAACTTTCACTACATTCATTTGATCTGACACGAGTTTCGTATCCTCGTGATGCCCAATATAGTGTCAGACCAAATGACTACATTATCAATTTAAAAGTGACAATTCATTTTTCTCGGTTAACTAAAGCTAAGAGCTCAAAGATCCTTAATAAAATTCGTGATAGACAGAGCCACGAGCTGCTAGCATCTATCTCTACTTGTATTTCCCCCCTTGCTTCTCCCATGTCCCTTAATTTCCTACGCAGCGTCATTACGTCGTCGATCGCGACGAAATTCCAACTCATCGGAAGCGAAATGAAACGAGGAACGAACAAAAAGCAAAAAGAAAGATAGAAGAACGACGAAGCAAAACTGGAGAGAGGGGAGGACGGGAGATGAGAGACATCGGGGATGGAAAAACGCAACGAGACGGAAGGAGATTCAAATGAACTGGAAGTACTCGAGTAGGCGCGGCCTCGAATATTCCCCGTCGTTTCTTGAAAAAAAGAGAAAAAAAACATAAAAAAAAAAAAGCTGTCGATCCACACCGACTGTCCCCGACTTGCTCGTCTAAGTAGCACGCGAAAGAAGAAAATCCGGCGATAATTAATGGCGCCCTGCTCCGCGATACTCGAGCCACCGCGAAGAAGGTGCTCGACGTCGGCTAATTGATCGGCGATTCGTTGTTCTTTGATTGATCGCTTAATCGGCCAGAGAGAGAGAGAGAGAAAATGGAGGGAAAAAAGGGACCAACGAAGAGAAAAGAGTTGGAACACGTTAGACGCTCGATCGCGAAAAGTCCTCGACGATGGAGAAAAGGTGCACACGGTTGTATGCACCTAAACGTTCGCCTGCACGAACGCGAATCTTTGTTCAGGAGTTCGATGAACGAGAGAGCCGCAGCGTCGAGAGAGCTGCCGGTGCGTCGGAGTATACCGGAATAATTATTCCGGCTTTTCGACGTGCCGGGTCATGTCGGCAACGATTATTGACAAGCGTAATTTCCGTTATCGTTCGTCTATTAATTAGACCGCACTCCGCCCGGGTTTCCCGAGTTTGTCGTTATTTCGGTCGGCAAATATGTTGAAGCGTGTCAACAAACCGTGGTAATAACGGCTTTGGATTATTTTACAAATTCGAAATTCACGGTAATTCCTTGAATGAAGTAGTGTATACGGCCGGAAATAACTCGATCACGCCGGAAGTTGATACGGCGAATTTTCGAAAGCGTCGGGGCGTCCATCGGAAAGCGTATGCCGTTACCATGGAGAGGAGACGATTGAAAATGCTAAACCAGTCGAGCAGACACGAGAAAGAGAGAGAGAGAGAGAGAGAGAGAGAGAGAGAGAGAGAGAGAGAGGTGAAGATTAATTCGTTTAGGAAGTCAGGTGAGCCAGAATCGAGGGGTTTCGAGGAGAAATTTCGATGAAGGTTCGATCGACACGGAGCGTTCCACACGGAGAACAAGAAGCCATCGGCTGCATAGCAATGCGATTTTCAAGTTCGTGTTATTAAATTCGATCATCTCGCCGCGTGAGACGGCCGTTTCTACGCTGGCAAATTGTGCGTGCGCTAGAATCCAATTGCGTCTGCTAAATCTACGCGGTTCGGCTTCGAACGTCGAACGATAATTTTCTACAAATTATTCGTCTTCTCATTAAAAAGTGTCTCGAAACTCGTACTCGTAAGTTTATATTCTAAAGACTTTATAAGTTAAAAGCAAGTCTGAAACGTTATTTGCGTTAAAAGTACGTGTGTATGTACACTTCTGCTCAAAAATTTTGACCAATTTTGCTTCTTGGACGAAATAAATTTTTTTCTCTGAAGACTTTAGAGAAACGACATATTGCAATGATGAGCTTCAATTCCAAGTATTAATATTGATTACTTTTTCGATACTTTAGAACACTACGTAATATTGTAAATTCTTTCGAATCTCTAACACGCTCCACAGTTTCGACTAGATATATACGCACAATATTTATGAAAAAAAAAAAAAAAATGAAAAACACTAACTATCAAGACTTCTCAAAATGTTGGTTGGTAGACACGCGCCATTCGAGAATCCACGTCTCTTTAGAATTACTCTCTTACTCTGCAGGTAAAGAACGTTATAAGACGGATCACGTTCGAAAGGGCGATCTTGAGATACACACTCGAGTCGCGATATGTTTGTGCTGAAGATATGTCAAAAGATACTCCTACACGCGTGGTTCGATCGAGAGAAACATAAGAGGAGCGACAGAAAAGAGAACAAATTCGCCAACTGATCCTTGTCGAGGAGTCTCGAGGTTCAGTGTCAACAATGATATGACGTCGACTGTGATATGCAAATGGAAGATCGTTTGAAAGAGTACGATACGTGGCCACTTAATGAATATTTACTTGGGCCCCGAAGCCTATACGACAATTAAACGCATAATTTTCAAATTAAAGCACCGATCAAATCGAACAGTTGTCCCATGCAAATCGAAGGTGTACGCCGAGCCAATCGTCGTTTTCTTGGTCGAGAACGACTTCCACTTTTTTATCTCATAGCTTTGTTTCCATTCAACTTTATAGTAAAACGTTGATTGCATAAAACTGAAGCATTATACGCAAAAGAAAGGTAATTATCCTCGAATATTCCAACTTATCTCGTTTGACGAATTTTTCAACAAAAGATTCTACATATTTTAAAAAAATATAAATTTTCTTCTACAAAAGAAGTAAAATTAGCAGCCGAGTAAATTCAAGAGACACAACAGTTCTGTAAGAATATTAAACTCACCCCGAGTTCCAACGATCAATCCAACGCGTCGTCCAGTTCGATCTTCGTCAAACACTGACACATCCCAAGGATCGCCTCGATTGCCGGCATTGAGGTCACCAACATCGCCGAACCACCAACTTGGAATACCTCGACACGTGAACTGAACACTCGCACCACACACACTTGGATACTGACCTCGGTGTTAGCGAACGTTTAACACGGACAATTATGATAAGCAAGGAAGCGGGGTTAATCGTCGCTGGCCATTGTTTGCTAAAACAAAGCGTGAAAGATCGCGCGCGAGCCTCCTTCCTCAGCGACGTTCCCTCAGCATTCCCCTTTTTCCGTAGTTCCGCACCGTTAATCCATCACGGTTCACGGCGTCGGCGAGCGAGAAAAGCATCCGTGACAAATCAAAGATGGTACCAGCCGCGAAAGAAGTTGCATTAATTTAACACATGTTCCTCTAAAGTCCGATTGCACGGTGACAAATGCGGCGCGACCGAAAAAAAAAAAAAGATGCCCGCAGGAACGAGCAGGAAGCAACCTCCCACGACGTGACCACGTGTTAATCCTCTTCCGAGAACCGGCGCTACTAGCTAATCTTCGAGAACGGTATGACGGCCGAAAGGCTGATTAAAATCTCGAACAGGTGTCTTCCGTTCTTCGAGCGATCTACGAGCTGGATTAATTTGTCAAATTAAAGATTAGCTCTGAAGTTTTCGGGATGAAACGTAAGGGCACACGCGTGTTTAATTAATCGTACCAGATCCACTCGTGCTTCGACGAGTTCCTGGTCTCTCGACGCTCACGTCGTCGTCGGGTGCTCGTCGCAATGTCCACGTAACCACGTGCAAACGAGACGACATGACCGCTGTCGCCTCGAATCACACCTCGACTTCACTCCACATTTCTGACTTCCACGATCGGCTCCACCACGTTCTCATTTCACTGGCCACCGTTTCAACTGGCACTGTTCGACGATCTCACCACGTCGGAGATACCATCGATCTCTGAAACACAAGCGCCCTCCGTATCAATGGGAAAGATACGTCCAACATCGAACGATTATCAACGATCGAACGAACTATCGAACCCGCGCACGCTTTTCACACCCTTCTACAAAGTTTCACGAGATGAAACATCGCAGTGCAAGCCACTGGAACTTTTCGACTTTCCGTTTAGGAATGCTCGGACCGAACGAATCCCGCCTAAGTTCCGGAAGGAACGCGTGCACGTACCGGCGCGAGTTACTTCATCGAGTTGGAAGAATAGCAAAGGAGGTGGAGTGGACGTGGTGTTCACCAGCGAGTGGTGGTGAAGCGATGCTGGCCGCGGCGATCCCGCTGGATGGTGATGATGGTAGTGGTGGTGGTGGCGGTGGTGGTGGTGGTGATGGTGGTGGTGGTGGATAAGAAGAAGAAGAAGAAGGAAACACAAGAGGAGGTGTGCTTGGCGCGATCTAGCCGAGTGGTACCAGCGGCCACTGAAGAAGAAGTGGCGTGTGCGAATCGCACGGCCGGGTGAAACGAAGACAGCGGCCTCGAAATGGTAAAGGACGGAGAGCAGAGCGGCCGAAAGAGAAGCAGATAGAGAGTAGGAGGGAAAGGAAGAAGAAGAAGAGAGAGTGGAAGAGAGGAGCGAGAAGAGAGAGAAAGGAGTAAGATCCTCGGGAGAGCGTCCTTCTCGGTGGAAAGGGCGGACGAGGCATGGTCCGTCAAATGGCCCTGCGTACCGAAACCGTTGACCGTCTGAAAATCTTGGCTTCCTTCTTCCTTCTTCTTTTCTTGCCTATAACTATAGCTACGCAGCCCGTGACATCGCGCAACAACGAACGCGTTTAATCGAATCGAAGATTTTTGCGAAGAGGAAGGTGAACAGTGATCACAATCGATAGTCGAAGCACGCTCAACAAGGAAACACAGCAAGAAGAACAGAAAGAAAAAAAAAAAGATGAAGGTCTTAGTTTGGAAGATTTAGAAGGAAAAACGAATAAAGATGGTGGGGAGAGAAAAAAGCGACGAAACTTAAGACGAAACGATACCAGCCACAGTCACCAGTCGCATTCTCGTATAATTGTTAAGTATCGAAAGCATCCGGGATATCCGTAGAACGAAAGAGAACAGACGGCAGAAATTACGTATAACGAACGAGATATTCCAAGATTTCCCACTTTTCGACGTCCCGAGGAGAAGCAGTTGGCAAACGGTGTACGCTCACTTAATTTACAGATGTGTCGACAAAGACGACGACAACCACGATCATTCTCCCTTTGCTTCTCTGTCTCGAGCAACGTGCATACGTGCAGCCGCGCATGGTCTTATCGCGCTCGAATTCTTAGAAAAGCTCTCTCTTTCTCTCTCTTTATACTACTTTATCGATAATTTCGAGCATTAAGAAAAAAACGTCTGAAAAATATGTTAATCATTGTAAGTGCATAATTAACCAGTAGTCCCGGCAACCTTTCAAAACCGAAATTTCGATACTTTCTCCTCGACTACCGAACCGTTAATGGTCTCCCGATTAACGACGAGCTAATAAATCGTCCAGCCTCTAATGATACCTCTTCTCCGCTCTCCACGACAACCAAATCCTACATCCATCTAGTCGCTCTTCCTGCCTGTCCGTCCTCGCTGGTATCTACATCCCCGGTACCGCGCACAATTTCCACAGCAGGTTCTCGCGATCGTTCTTTCCAACGTCGTGTAAACGCACAGGTACGGCTCGTAACAGCGTCGTGGTACAGCGATAGAGGAGACAGAACCCACGACAGGATATCACGTGTCCCTTGCTGCGCGTCCTTTAAGCCCACGGATCCGCAGCCGTCCGCGACGCGGCTTTTCACGGCCCTGCTGATACATTGCTACCGTTTCGAGGAGGGTCCCTGTGCATCCTCGCAGCCGCGCAGGCTGCCCCTCACCGAAGGGGCCTTGTATTATGGTAAACGAGACATCGGAGCCAGAGGCTGCCAGTCACCGGTGCCTCCTTCCACTTCCCACCGATTCTCTCCTTTCCTCTTTTGTCTACTCGCCAGCCAGTTGTCCTGCCGACGTTGCCTCTCTTCCTGCTTGCTCCCGTTGCTACCTCCCCACGATGTCCTCCACATTACAAACATCCGTCCGTTTCTCGCTGCTCCAGCTTCCAACCGACGAAAACTGTCTGTCCCCTCTTCGAGGACTTGATGATCTTAATGAATTCGAGAAATTTGCGCAACGTTCTCGAAAGGTAGAGTAAAGCACTCGATGGTAAGATCTCGCTCTCTCACTGACGTTCGAATTTCTCGAGAGCGCCGAGAAGCCGGCGACTAAGTCACGACGGCTGAGTCACGCAACTGGAACTGGAACCAAGAGAAAACGCGTTAAATCTCGTTACACCGTACATTTTATTTCCCCCTCCCCCTTCTCTGAATCCTGCTCGCGAGATTGCCTTAAGCTTCTCGTTCCCCTAATTTCTAAAATGTAACGTATTCAACCGCGTGATTCTGTATTCCCGAGTCGAATCGAGTCCATCGCTACTCTCCAAGCCTTATGCCTCAATTTCCGTCTCTGTCTCTCGTTTAATCTCGTTCCCTCGATCTTCCTCTTCTCGTCTCCTCGCCACTCACTCCCCCCCCCCCTTCCCCCTCCTCTCGTCTTCCGTGGGTCTTCCTTTTTGTCTTCCGTGTGTTCTGTCTCTGCTAACCGTCCACCTTCTTCTCTCGTTCTCGTATTCTTCCTCTTCGACTTCGGTGCTCCGTGAGAGGGAGGGAGAGCGGGGCGGATCGTCGCGTTCACCTCGCTTCTGTCGCGCGACGATGCATCACGGAGCCCTCTAATGAAAGCCTTTTCTCCGGCTGCCAATTAACCCCCACGCGACACCGGCCAAACGGAAGAAAATAGCGGACCGACGCGACGCGTGCACCTATACAATCGATCGTTTCTACCGCGCCAGTGAGAGTGTTTAATTGTACGTCGTACGTGTTTTCCGTTCCTTCGAAACGTATCCAAATAATCGTGAATGAATGGAGAAATCCACTCGCGAACGAACTTTTCTTCCATATTTGTTCTCGTGGCTCGTGCCTTTCTTTGCCCTCCTACCCCTTCCTTTTACGTTTCTTGAATCATGCGAGAGTATCTCGAATGTATTTCGAAACTACGTACACGTGGTAGATGTAGATAAATAGAAAGATTCGCTGAAACTGATTTGAATAACTTTAATGCCGCGTTTAATGGAGCTTGTTTCATCCAGGCCGATGAAACGGAGGTTGGAAGAAAAAAAGCAGCAAGAACGTATGCGGGTACTTAAACAACAGAGTACTTAACAAGTAACGACGATCCCTCCGCGCGCGATCCCCCGAAGAATTGCAACTTACGATTATTCACCGTTTGTCGATATCTGATGAAGGAAAAAAAGAAGAAAGAGGAAAGAACAACGAAACGGAAGCGTGACGCGATCGTAAGCCTGTTTGTAATACTTCCGCGCGAGCGCGAAAATTACGCTAACACCGGCTAGAAGCTAGAAGGCAGAACACGTTCCATCGATGTACGTACGTCGTAACATTACCTTCATCAGATAAACGAAAATCCTTGGTCGAGAGGGAAGCAAAAGGAAAAAGAACGGGCGAGAGCCTCCTCACTCCATAATGTTAAAAATCAGAGGACAGAAATTCATCTCTCGCGAGACGTCTAACACCCTGAATACTAATCCGACGATAAATACGCTCGGTCACGGGTTAAGGGAAGCGGGTACGCGATTGACAAGTCAAACGAGTTTCACACGATTCACCGGCCACGATCGATCATCGCGATTATCCGCGCGGATCTCTTGGATCGTCTCCGGAAAAAAAAAAAAAAAAAAAAAAAAAAAAAAAGAAAGATCGTTGAATCTAAAAAGATTGATTTCGGCATCAAAATTAAGACGTTTCAACAACCATGAACTTTTCACATTTTTCATACACGTGTGCTCTATTCGTAATATAAGTATCACAGGTGCGTGTTGTTACTTCGAATTGATACGCACGATAAAGACGACAAGACGCAACGAGACGAATCGACGTTCAAGACGGAAATCCGCGGCACACGCGAAGGAGCCTTAAATTACGAAACTGCAAGTTACATCTTTGGTGGATTTACAGACAAGGTGGGGCCCCCATCGAGGCTTTGCATCATAGTTCCAAGCCCCGGCTCGTCCCACGACGATAGTAAAAACTTTTACGCTCCTTATAATTATGGGTAATTCACGGTAATTAACGAGGCTGCTCGGAGTCACGCTGGCAATTTTCTGAGTAATATTTCTGCGACGATAATATCGCGTTTTCCTACGCCACCGGTTTCCTACGCCACTCGTTCTTCCTTCGTTGCTGCAGCTTGTATACCCTTTCGCCACCCCGGTGTTCGTCAATTTTCTCTTTTATCCGAGGGAGTTTTAAAACGCGAACTAAATCGTTGGGCTATCGTCAAAATTCATTCGTCGGAATTGGTTGATAGTTTAGAGTTTGCGGAAGATTTATAAATATCTCGTTCAGATAAAAAAATTGTTATCTATAATATTCTTGCGTATAATTGTCCCATATTTATGCGTATACTTGTATTTTTATTACATTCGAAAACATCTTGAAATATCATTGGTAAGATTTGAAACCAAATGTATATAGAAGTTGCGAAATATTCACTGCAAAAATGTATTTAATAAAAAATTAGTATATGATACGAATGGAATGTTAAGCATAATTCCACCGAGTATTGAGATTTACCAATACAATAATTCATTCTGGGAAATTTACTCCTTCCTTCAAGACTTTGTACAACAAAAAATTTATAAAATTTTAACTGCATCATATATAATGATTATTATGAATATATATTAGCAGTTTTATTATAAAATGCACATACAATTTTATTATTATTTTTATGTAGCGAATATTAAAAATAAAATATATAGTTGTGTCAAATGTTTCGTAATTTCTATATACATTTTTAGATTTGCTTCGAACGTTTCATTGCGATGTCAATGAAATTTCAAGATGTAACATAACACACGTGACATATTCATGAAAAATTTCTATATATACGAAAATTCATAAACAAAATTTTACTTATATATAAATATATATAATTACAATCTCGTTTTACAAACTATCTGATTATAACAAAGAATGACATAACAAAAAATTACAAAATTGTTAAAAGAATTTGCGAAGAAAACGAACGAAAAAAGAGGGATAATTTATAAAATTCGTATCCTAACCAAATCTAATATAAAAGGCAAATCTACACCCTGGCAAATCTCGCAACTCGTCAGTTGCACGTAAATTTGTGAACTATCGTTCGAAGGAAGCCAGATGCTTTCGCATTTCCGATGTATACGTTCCAAAGCATCGTTCCCGTAAAGCGCACGAACGTGCTCCGCGCGGACGATTATCCAAATTCAAAGAAATTCCCTCTTCTTTCCCGAGCGTATTTCGAACACGCTCCTCTGGCATATTCCTCTCCGTGAGGAGGGGGAAGGGGGGATTCCTCTCAGGGGCGAGCACCGTGGACGCACGAACGGCAATCTGCAGAGATCTCCTCTCCTCGAATTTATTTTATAGTTTCTGCTGGAAATGACGTCCCGTAACGAGACATAAATTCGCGAAAGCTCCGGTGGTAAACAGGGTCGTATGTAAGGCGAGCGTAGTACCGGTTCTTCCGCAGTTACGCGGAGTCTATTCGAGTTTACAAGATCGGGCGACGAGCAACGAATGCGAACGAGCATAACGCGCGCCGATTCCTTTCTCGACCCATTAAAGGAGCCGAGCAACAATTTACCGCGAAATATTGCGAGCGCTTCGATTTGTTTAAATTTCACCGGACAACCGCCGGATAATACCGCCAAGACGATAACGACGATATTAAGAATATTAAGATCGAACCCTTTGGAATTTTCTTTCGTAGTTCTCAGTATTGAAAAAAAAAAAAAGAAAAAAAAAGATAGAATTTGACGAATGGTCGAAATTAACTCGGGCGTTGGTTTCTAATGGGTGAATCTTTCTGCATCAAGAGCAAAAACGAGGAAACGTCCGTCATTGGACAATCAGTATAATTTGTACAGTTTGTACATTACCTGTGACAATTAGAATCGCAATGATTGTAATTTACAAAGTTTCACCGGGACAACATTAAATATTGTATCAATTATTGTATCAAGTAAGGAACTTGTACTTTGTATCGTTCCTATTTATCATTGTTAAACGTTAACAATTTGCAATATTTTATTAATCTTTATTAACTTAAATGTTTTGACGTTCCTTGTTTCTCTCCTTTTGCTGTATATAATATATAATTGATTAATATATAAATATTATTATATAAATTAAATTAAAATTCGAAATGGTCGCTCGTCAAATTTATATTAGTTGGAGGATTCAGTAGTCAATATTTTTCATTAAAGACACCATGTAAATATCCTTAAGTCGATAGACAGTTTAATTACTTTGCTATAATCATTATTACGATAATTTAAAAATGTAAGTCGACGAAAGGAAGATTTGCACGATGATTGCAAGTTACACTTATTTGTTTTCGAACCTTTGCCTACCTACCATACAAACTACCCTATTTGTACATCTTACAAGGTATAATCTCATATGTATAAGATCTACAGTCTACACTTTGTCTACATACGGTGCGCTTTTAAAAATACCACACAACGAACCATGCACGTGTATCATATCGTCGTGTCTCGACACGATTGTTTGCCAGACGCGGGGAAGAATTTCGTCTTAACGGTTTGAGAGGTTAATTTCGGGAATGGGTACGGCAATTGCGAGGCGGTTTCGCGATGCGTCCACTTTGATCGCGTTCACTTTGATCGCGTCTCATCGTCCCATCGGACGCGTACTAAAAGCGCGTGCTGAGCTGAATTCAGCTCTCGTGGGATCCCCTCCCCCCCATCCCTTTCTCGCTCCCTCTGTCTATTTCTTTCTCCCTTTCTACGTGTGTACGTGCTCTCCTTGGTTTTGTCACGATCGTGTCCGTGTTCGTACGTGCACGAATAAATACAGACGCTAAACGGGCTACAGAAACAATATACACAGGCGCGGTCACACAGAGACGGACCGACACGAAGCTAAACGGAATCGATGTGTGGCAGAGACAGAGAGAAAGAGAAAGAGAAAGAGAAAGAGAAAGAGAGTGGGAGAGAGTTTACGTAGGAATGGAGAGAGCGGTGGTTGAGTCGAGTGTAGGGAGACAGCGGTCGAGGTGGGTTGGCAGCATGGTATGGGAGACACGAGAAAGA